CATGCATGTTCGAGATACAGGTGATCACGGACGCACGGACGCACACAGGGCAAAACATAAGTCCCCGTTTCGGACTACGTCCAAACGGGTACTAAAAACACTTGAGTCAAATGAATGACTGCATGAATTGCATTGAATGTTTGTAACACTGTTGACTGAAACATGTTTTCTTTTCTCTTTATCTTCCTTTGTTTTTTAGAACCAAAATAATTTCTATTACATCCATGTTACCACCAATCTGTTAATGCTCTCTCATTGACAACAGTTGACAAAGATCACAAAAGCTAATATTCCTTACTTTTCATTGACCCTTGGTAAATGCATTGCTCTTTCTACTTCTATTTTCATTTTGATAGGTTTTAATTTCTCTGTTTCTTCTAACACAACTGTCTGCAGCACTGGGTCATGGTGTTTAGTCTCAGTTTTCGTCATGGCAACTAGCGGCAAATCATACTCTTTTGCTTCATCGGATGTTTTCTAAAAGTAAATGGTTATATAAAGCAATACACCTATATAAACTCATGAATCACAAGATTGGTGATCTTATCTATGCTGATGACAATCAGTTACTCTAAGCGACTGATAGCAAACATATTCAGTCAACCCTTGATTCAATGAAACAATGCAAACTTGTTGATATCAAAGTTTTATTGTCTACAAACCTTAGTTGAAAACAGTTTCATTTTGAGTAACTGGGACAAAAACAAAATTGGAAAGTTACAGCATTTGCAAATTATACTGATAAAAAACTGGCATATTGTGTTGTTTATTATTTACAGCCTAATATGTTTGTCAGAATTTTTATTTTTTGTGTACTTAGAGCTCATCCAAGAATATTGGCACTATAAATATTCCTTACAATTTTTAGTCATATTTACCTTATTAATGTCAGGAACCGATGAGCATGGTTGCATAAAAAGATGTACTCTCAAACAAGCACCATCCATTTCAACAGCTCCACATTTGTATATTGGGAATAAGCCGCTATATTTAAAAACAACATAATTAATATAATAATAAATCAA